GTCAGTGCTAATAAAGGTACAGTACATTTAGAAGTAAAATTGGCTTACAAATAAATTGTACAATTTAGTCAGAACTACAGGACACATGATGTCAGGGCACAAAACGCTCTCAAAATGCATCCAAACAGGTCAAGAGAAAGTGACAGCAACGTGGATGGTACTTTGTAGCAACACGGACATGAGAACACAGGCTCTCTCTCTCTCTTTTAAATTGTCAAGAAATGTGCTTGACCCACATTTTGCACTGCTCCCTAAAAATTCCAAATAAAACCTCAATGTATCTGCTTTCCATGCACAGTGTACATGTACAGCCAAACATGTTTTTTGGGCAATCGTGGACGTTCCTATTGTCCTCTTTTGTTTATACGTTATTTTTTTGGAAGGCCTCTAATATGGTTTGTACACGTTTGGCAATCGTGGACGTATCGGGAATCGTGGATGGTCATTAATTCTCTTGTTTAACATCCACGATTGTTTAGGCACATCAGCGCATGTAGACATATTTCAAATTATACTCTACTGTGCACAGATAACTGTACATGTATCCAACATACACACACCCTTAAATATGTATACTTGTGGGGTATTTCCTTCGTTCTCGTGTACAAAACTCCCACACAACATGGAAAAAATGTCAAATCACTGCCATTTCAACCATATTCAGTTTCCTGGGTTGAAATTTCGACCGTATGTCCCTTATATAAAACACTTCAATTTGCGACGGATGAATGGCACTTGAAAATTCCTCCTTTTTGAGTAAATTTGAAATATCTATTTCATGAAATTCTCGTGGGATACCACTTTAGTAGCCCACAAGGCACCACATACAAGCGCACAAAAACCTTACGTACAGTGTAGTTCAAGTCTGTCGTGTTTTCCAAAACTCCTTTTTCCCTCCAGTTTGAGAACCTGAGAACTGATGCTGAGAGCGTGGGTCTTAGTGGGAAGTACTTAATTTCGGGCAGAGAATCTTGTCATGGACCCCGTATCCCTTTAGTGGGAGGGGTAATGCCATGTCTCAGTGCATGTTTTTGTTTTATTACCATATACACCAGACGTGCATGTCTATGACCGTGTGCCATTCGTACACCACAGCACTGCCACATGTACTGCAGTCTGTAAACATGTCCATTTTTATAGAGAAAAGTCAATGGAAAAACAAGTCTGTCCATTACATAAGAGTTCAAACAAAAAAAAAAGAGTGCCATGTACATGTACCTGGTGTGCCTGAAACATCAATACCAAGATTCTGCGCTCTTTGTAAAGAGGGAAAAAAAAGAAGGTATTGATTGCCAATGATGTGGTTGAAAACTGTTCACCCTTCACACAGACTTGTGTGGTGAGCTTTACTGAAATGATGGAGGGGCTCATGAATGCATACATGTACATGTACATACAACAAAGACTGAGCCTAGGGATTTACTTGACCTTCCTGGCAATGCCACAGGAATTTTTTGGAGTGGCGTCTCTCAAGCACTAGCACTACCCACTTTCAAACTAACATTTTGTGTATAAAGTTGCAAATTGTTTCTGAATGGACAAGATGAGACACTGTACAATGTCCACGTGCCGTAGTTTCACATTGAATTTTTGAAAAACTTCTAGAGAGATTAATCCAACTAGAACTGCACATGATGTTGATAGACATACTGTAAGTTCAGAGAAAAAAAGATACATGTACCGTGTAGTTAAACATGTGCATCACAGAATATACAGCAAATCTCTTCAGAACAATACATACAGGGGTTACATTTTACCTTTGGGTAAAAGATTAACAACTGCTTTTTGTGTCCAAAAACCACCCGTTCTGGCTCTGTGTAGGTCCACATTTCTGTATGGTACAGTATGTACGGTACATGTACAGTACGTGTACATTTGTACAAGTGTGCTAAAATTGTGCTTGACCCCGTCAACAAGAAGAGTACAGTGAAGTTTAGGAATTAGTCATTCTGTAATTTGATATTCTCTGAACAGTGCACATGTATGCACTCTGTAGGCCTAGACTTGTGCACTGGATGAGGCGGGGTCCATTCCAGGTGACTTTTTGTCTTGCGAATATTTAACCAACTAACTTGCAGATGATGACTGACATGTACCCGTGCAATCAGCAGAGGCAATGGGGGAAACACACCATGCCATTAAATCAATACATTTGTCCGCCATTGGTGGGAACGTATTGATCTGCACGCCTGCAATTATCAGGATGTCCCAATCTTTCACGAGGGGGAAAAGTTGGCTCAGAACCCAGGCAGAGGTCAGTGAAGGACGTACACTGTACAATGTACAACTTACTGTAGCTACATGTATGTATGTATTTGAGTGAAGAGTTAAATTGATGCAGCACAGCGAACAGTAGTGTATGGAAACTTTAGCAACTTTAGTCACCTGCACATTTGTACGAGTACATGTACATGTACATACATATATATACATGTGCCGGAACTCATGTAGCACAGTGATCAGTTTTGTTCACTGGTACTTTCCACGCTACATATATCTGCCACAGTGATCCAGGTTCAAATCCCTTCCATTTCAACATGTGCATTGGGGGGATTTTTTTAATGTCCCTGCTTCATTCCACAGATTTTCCAAAGAATATCGATCTCTGGATTTCTTCTCATTTCGGACAATGAACTCTCGGTAACTGTATTCTCTCCGCAGATACGGGCAGTTTCAAGGTTTCAAACATGAAAATACTAATTCCGTTGTAACTTACATGTAAGGACCTACATGTATCACAAACAGAGGAAATAAAGATTTTGATCTCTGGTACACAATTCAGCCCATGAAACAAAACATTTCTTTTCAGTGGCTTGCCCCCTCTTAAAAAACCGACCCCATGCCCTCGCCTGGAGGACATCAAAATAATTTACAGCTTGTTAAAAACATATATGACTTGCTCCTTGATTTATTCCATCTCTTGTTGAGAGTCAGACACGAATACTACTGCAAAGCTATTTTTCCCAGCTCGCGATCTCACCTACGGTGTGAAACAGACAGATTCAAGTGTTTACCCAAACTGTAAATATCCCTCAACAAAATGATGGAGGATGGGGTTAAAGTAGCAACAGTTGGGCTGGTGTGCCAGCAAAGGGGTCTCCCCTGTGAAGGGGAAAATCTGGGTCAAGATGCCAAAATGTGCCCTATGCCACTGTATGGTACATGTAGTGTCTGACTCACAAAAACTTGTAAGAATGGGAGAAAATGGGAGCAGTACATACATGCTTACAAAAACTGACAGCTCAGGCATGCAACAGAAAAAGAATATTTCTTTAGCATTTCAACGAGTATCCCAGTTTACTACTTTGAGCACGTACTGGCATCATTAACCATAACCCCCACCAATAGTTCAGGGCCACTGTAACAATACATGTACATGTACAAACATTCTGTCAGAAGTTCCTGGTGCCAATTTCCACAGTTTCATTAAACTAATTCCAACTGACTCCACCTTTATTATCAGTTGTATTTAAAAGTCACTTAGCTACTAGAATTGAAACTTGCCTTCAATGGTCAAGGCTACCGTAGATTTCGGCCTACAAATACTGTCTTTTTTTTTTACATCACAAACAGATAGTGACATTGTCTGGAGTTACAGAAGTTTCACAACTGCACTATTTTCTGTCACAAAAATTGTATTTTTTAGTAAATATTTTAGTTTTTTGGAAAACCCTTTAATTTCCAGTTTCTTCTTTAAAATTGCATCTAACATGTACCAAACATTTCAGAATCCCTGATAAACAAATTTTTTGAAATTTGAAAACATTAATTTGTACACAAATCTTTACCTACAGTACAGATGTCGCTGAAACATTTGGAGTGTTGGACCAGAGGCAAGATTTGCCTCAGCAAGCACGCACTAATAAGAATAGGTACATGTAGCTGTAAGATATTGCTGGCTCTGCATCATAAATCATGTGCCACTAAATTGTAGTCAGGCAAAACGTCAATTAAGCTGGTTTGCACACCTGACATCATTTCAGCAAATTTGGTTTACAGGAAATGTGCCAGACTGATAAACGTAATTAGTGTCATCCATTTTCCCATCATTTTCGTGAGCGACTTATGGGCACTCAAAAAACTCTCTCTTTCTCTGACCTCTCCCTCTAATGAGTAAGCAAGGAAATTTGATAGCCGAGCCCAAAGCACGATTCTCGACAGTTTCTGAAGAGCAAACATGGGCAGTTGGCCCCATCCCGCCCGGCACACATTTTGTATGCTCATGAAAGCGAAAAAAAAAAAAAGACGACCTTCATCAGAGGATGGACACATGGCAAACAGTCTTGAAAACTCATTTCTAAATAATAAATGTCCCTGTAATATGACCTAATAGGTAGCACATGTCTCAGTAAACTTCACCAACTCTGAAAGTTCAAGGCAGATCACATCTAATGCATCTCTTCCTCAGCTGCAGTAAGTAAGGTTACAAAATCCGCTCTACCTCGATACTTTTGGCACAATAATCTAAACGCCGATTGTAACTGCAATATTATGACAAGGTACCCGGTACAACAATGTACACTGTACATGTACGTTACGCTCAGTTGCACACACTGCGATTAACAATCGTGCTTCATTTGTAAATTTATGAATGTACGCAAAAGATCACTTGGATATCAATGCAAATTCTACAAAGAGTACAAAGAGTTTAAGAAAAATGTAATCATTCACTTTTACAGTATCTCAGGACAAACAAATAATGAATGCATGTAATTGGTACTATGGATTGTGTCACTGGCTAAACCTTCTAGTAATCTCTACTTTGACAAAGTTGCTGATGAAAAAAAGGACCGACAGATCATACCGCCAGGTTGATTAACGGCAAAGCGAGTGATTACTTGCACAGATTGATCTGCCGTGCCCAATGCCTAAAATAACGACCACCAAGTACCGTACCGGTATACACGTACAGGCACACTTCACTTGCACAAGGCTGTATACATTGCACTGGTACCCGAGCACTTGGAATAGTCTTTACAGAACAACAGGGAAGAACTCACCCATGACGTAGAGCTAGACTTGTTTTGGGGCAGTCCACGCCAAAAATCTCTTCTTCTGTCATCGTATGGAGGAAGATCTGGGAAACGTACTGATTGGATGCCTTGTCATCGTGTACCATGTGCATGACTTGGTCCATCTCCTTCCTCACGACGGGTTCCTCCCGTGACCACAAGTAAGTTGACAATGTACTGTCCTTGGCGCATCGCACGTTGACGAAGAACATCTTTCGCTTGCCGGGCACAGGGTCGGCGGCACACAGGTCCACAGTCACTTTGAACAGGCACGCTTGGTGTCCCAGGCAGAAAAGGACGGGATCGCAGCCTGTTTCGGTGAGTGGCGACTGAGCTATCGGAGGATTCACGAGCTCTCGGAATGCGTCTGCCTCGTTCATGCCATCTTTGCCGCTCCGTGGCTGCCGGAGGAACGATGCGGTGGTCTTCTCCGGGGACAGGCCCTTCGAGAACTTGTCCCTGACCGTGAAGATGTTCCCGTTGGCCCCCCATCCAAATGGCTTGACCAGCTGTGACTGCACTGCGTCGAAGCGGTAGGAAATTTCGGCGATGAAGCTGTCCCTGGGGCACGTGAAGAACGCCCGCTGGTTCTCGGTCCACTTGTAACGCGTCTCCTCCGAGTTTCTGGTGAGGACGTGGTCGTACCTGACCCGGGGCTGCTCAGGAGGCACTCTCCTCCCAGGTTGGGCCATTTTCGGATTTTTGGGCATGGCCATTTTCTGCGGCATGGCCACCTGGGCGCCCTTCTCCAAGCCCTGCCTGGGCCCCCGGTTTTTCCCCATCAGGGCAGGCAGCATACCTCGCCTGTTCAGTTGCGGGAAGCGCGGCCGCGGTTCAAAGCTCCCTGCCTGGCCCACGAGGCACAGCAGCAAGCAAGGCCACAGCACGACGCACACCCACGCCATCCGCCAGTGGAGGCACTCCGACCACAGACAGGCCAAGCGTTTACCGTCAGCACAGCACATGGCGATAGCAATGGAGATCAGTCTCCTGTCCAGCACCGCGTATTATCACAACTGCAATGAAGACTGTCGCTCCACACATTGAAATGTACAACGTACTCTTCATGCAGGAACACCGCTCACCTAAACATGTTTTATTTACCTTGATTAATAATACGTCCTGCACCTGCAATGCTGCAACCTACCGAAGCACCAATCAGCTGCATCGTGATCACTTGTCATTTATCTGTACACACTGGCATGAGTGGATACAAACCGTATAAACAACCATCCCTCTACTGGCCTCAGTTTTTTGACCCAAATCGGTAGCAAGGTACTGGTATTTGAATGAAGCTAAACTAGTAGTAGTACATAGCGTCATGGGCACAGACTGGTCATTACTACATATTACTAACAAGAGAATGTGGGTGGTGAAAGTAACAATTCACTGATGTATCACAGAAGTAAAAGTCATGAAATCAGATTCATAACAACCACTGATTCACAGTTACCAGATGATTTATCTCTTAAGCGAGTTCAATGACACTGCCTTTAACTTTACATTCGCCAAAGCACTGTCACTTAGTACGTACACATGGCCTATACGTCAAACCCGAACACGAATCCATGATTCATTTACGTCGGCAAGCAGAGCAGAAGTGAAGACCTCGTCATCGGGCTGACTTCCTTTGCCACAGGATAAACACATGTCATGGCATAGGCTACATGTAATGAACCAACGAGAGCAGGCTTGGCTTGATCTTCGTGGTACACGAAAAGTTTTCAGTGACCACTTTCTATCCGACGGCGTGGTGCTTATAACGCCTGTTCCGCACTGCCATAGGCCCCCTAATCACCATTTCCGTTCCAGAAACAGTGTAATTTGCGCGGTCACATCACTGACAAAGCAGCCGACACCCCGTGGACTGCAGAGCCGAATCGACAAATGCAGAAAGCCTGTGGAAATTCTGGCTAGAAATAGGGAAGTTCAGACACCGCGCACCACGGCCAGGTTCGTGCCAAGGGTTCCGTACATTGTGCATACGTACGTAGGGCCTACATGCAGTTTCTTCCACTCTACTTGCGAAAACCTAAACAACCTTTATCCTGCATCATGCATGTGGGATCGATTAGCGACTTCGCTGGGACGAGAGAGGGCGGTGTGATAGTTTATTGAGATCATGACAAAAGGACGAAAGTGCCACTCCACCCCTCGGATGGGCGTTGGGATAGGCGCACCGACCTGTGAAAGAGGGGATAAAAAAAAATTTGCTATTTGAACGAAAGTTCTCTGAATAAGCCAATTTTCCGTTCTGTTGCCATGTTGAATTTAGCAGCCCTGCGTGAAAAAATGAAAAAAGCTAGAGGGGAAAAAATTGTCTACAGTGATTAACAATCGCAAGCATTAATTCGCCAAACGTTACACAGCGTTATCGTAAATTTGTTCCTCACTATTATATCTTCTGAGCATGTGCACATGAAACGTTAAAAAGGCTCGTTGCGCCCTGTTATCAAATACAAATTTTCATATTGTTCGCTCGTCGCCCGGTGCCCGAACAGGGTGCCGGGGAGGGGGGTCGCCTTGCACTGTGATTGGCTACATTGGCACATTCTGTGACCACGAGGTTATCACAAGTTATTAGCATTATTTAATTTTTTGGTTCACCAATGGCAATGCTTTGGCCAAGCGTCGGCTATATGATAAAAACATGGCTTTGGTACAATCACAGTGTGGTAATTTACCCTCTCGTTAAGTACACTGATCAGGTGTCTCTTAATTCTCCACGTATTTCAAATCATTGGTTATCTTGATATTTTGGATAAATGAATATAGCGCAAGGAGGATATTTTCAGCAATGAGGAAGAAAAAATATTCATAACCGCCGCGTGTGTAACACATTGAGTGAACTCGTGTGTCTGGCAGAAATTTACCCACAATGCTTGGCGCGTCATTAGCTGTAACCCCATGTGACGTACTTCCTTCACTAAAATCTGTGTAAGTCAATCAGCCCTTCCCAGCGCCCTGTTCGGGTGCTGGGTGATGAGTGAAATACTGTTAAAGGTTTGCCGGTGCCCTACTGTTTAGTGTCCCCGTCCCCAAAACAGCCCCTCATCACGTCCAGGCTACGTCCATGGCCCAGATTACTTGTCTCATGCGGACGGGGGATCAGAGAGAGAGCGTTAAGGAGGATGTTGCTAAAATGAGACTTCCCTGGTCAAATAAAAGTAGGTTGGGCAGGCATTTGGTAGGAGATACTACGTCATTGATGCAAACTTGTCGACCAAGTCCTCTGAAAATTTGGTCCACTTTGTCTATTAATTTTGGCATTACCATTAAATTTCAGTCAGTGACACTCACCCTCCCATTACCTTAGGGAAAAGGGAGACCCCTTTGTTGAGTGCTTATTGGGTACAAATCCACCCGTGAATGGACACCAGAGTCTGAACTTCCAAGACAGAAATTTGAAATTCTTGTTTGGAAGCCACTTCCCACACAATTTCAAAGGATTGCCAAAACAGTGAGCCACATTCATTTATCCTGCAATCTTTAATCATAAACAGAAACATTTGATGTCCAAGTACGTGGGTGTCACAAGGGGGCGGGGAAATCCCCCATTCCCACCCTTGGAAAAAACATGTAAAAAGGGGCGGGAAAGTTAAAGCAAAGAAAATAAAGAGATGAAAATCACCAATTTGCTAAAACAAATTGCAAAATTGGCCGTCTCACATTTAATTGTTTATCAGGTCATAGCTGATGAGTGCTGGCACCACTCCTGGAACCCCCCCCAGAACAGTGGTTTGCTCCTCCCCCTCCCCTGGCAATACCCATGTCTTCGTACCACAATCTTTGCATTGGCAGAACCTTAACATGTAATGTACAATGCAATCCATCAATTTTCACAAGAGAAGTAAATCAACAAGTACATTTCAAAAACAAATGAATAAATAAATAAAACAAATTAATAAAGAGAAGCTGGAAAAGGGCATGTTTAAAATATGTAAACGAATTAAAAATTATTTAGCTGTTGCATTTCACATACAATTACCTGCTGCATAGTCTCATTCGAGATAGAGTGTCACACATACTGTGCTTGATTAAAACAATTCAACTTTACAATAACCTTAATTTCTTTCTTGAACAGAAGCCTGTTCACATAAATTGCCTTAATAATACTTAATCCTAATTTCCTCCCGTGTTCATAAAATGATATTGAAATCGGAGGATTTAGCCCTGCGGGGGTCGAGCATGAATTGATACAGAGTCCCGAAAAATCGCACACCTGTCCTGATTTTGAAATAGTACCAGTTCCTATTTTTTATTTTTTTGGCCATTACATTGCCAGGTACTTTCCCCAAATCCTTCCAAAATTCACCACTTTGCTGGAAATCGACAGCGTACCCTTCGCTCATCAGGTGTCACAGGGCACTAAGCCCCATGTGAAGTACATGTAACAAAGACTAAGTTCTACCTTTTCGCAGTCCTGACAAATCTAGGTGGACTGTAGATTGTGATTCAGAAAATCCACACCATTAGTATGCTCTTACATTCTGCTAACTCAAAATAATCAGCACCAGTGATTCCACAAATCACTCAATTATTACTGAATGCTTAATGAACTCTTGTCTAAAAATAAATTTTAGGCTGTAAAATAAATATCTATGCTTGAATGTAAACCTGCATATACACCGCGCTTAAAGCTAGCTTTCTCAAGCAAGAGAGTTTTCAGTTGTCCAACGAAAGAACCAAACAGTTACATCACCATCTTGTCAAGCCTGACTGAATTCATCATTGTTTTTTACCCGAGACTCGACTTGACCAGTTGGTGATGCAACTTTTGGAAAAGATCACTCTGCTCCAGCACCGACAAGTCTTCTGATTACTACTTGTCTCATTAAACTTTTCTCCCCAAGAACGCCTTGGTCAATTCACTTTATATACATACATAGATTAGCTACAGAGAAAAGGATGGTTGAGTTAAAACTTGTCCAAATACCCTTTCTCAGTCCAAGTGCATGTAAATTTATCAGTTAATTTTGGTTGTTGGAACAAAAGGGGGGGAAAGTAAAGAAAAAAAATGAACATGCAGTATTGCGACGAACTGAGTTTAAAACCATGTATACAGGGTTAAAATGATGAAACGCTACATATGGATTCAACTGGCTCATCTAAGCTGTTGGTCCACAATTTTTAGACTAAACTTGGCACATTTCAAACAAATACACATTCATGTATACATGTATTTGTTCAGGGAAAGAGCCTTCTAACTGCTCTATATTTTGGGACAATTCCAGGTGGGTCAATAAATGACTTAACAGCACACTGAATGGTGAAATAAATGGACGTACAAAGCCACATATTGAGCACTCTGTACAAATTTTGTTTATGTAAATTTATGCATAAATACACGAATAATGCATTACCATCTTGTTTTAATGCATGTTTTACCTTGGCATCAAATGTTCATTCCTGTAATACTCGAAGTGCATCCAGAAAGCATCTCTATGTTCAATTCAGTAGAACAGCCCTAAATAAAAATATTCTAGTTAATCGTGGCATTTCAAGTTGGAACAAACTGAATGATGCTCTAAAATCATTGTCAACTCTGCCTGCATTTGCCAAGAAACTGAAAGTAACACTACAATAGGCCTACATGTTTGTAAAATTAGTAATGCCACTTAATCATTATACAATGTACCCATCAGATAGATGGATTCAGCCATGATCGAGTCTTGTTTCATTCCTGTATATCTAATGTTTGTATAGTCCTTGTCAGTCCTAGGTCGGGGTACAAAAGCTTTTAGCTTCACCCCCTTACCTAGATGTTGCCCTCTGTTTTCTGCTCAACTCTTTAATATTAATTGTTCCGTGAAATAATTTAATTGTTTAAATGCATTTTGAATGTAACAACGTGCATGTTTGTCTTTAGGTATAGCAATGCACTACCTATGGTCTTTTCAGGGCAATGTTGAAACAAATGTGTGTGCAATGACTTAGATAAGGGCTAGTGTGTAAGGCACTTTGTCTGAACGTCAGACAGGCTTTTGTGAAGATGTAATCTTTTTTATTACTGTAAACAACAACAGTGAACAGTTCAAAGATGCCCAAGAAATCTAACCAAAAAAATTAAGGGGAAGTCGAAGAAATTAATGAAGACATTGTACTTTAAGGGATGCAAAACTTTGTTCAAGCGACTCACTGCATGTAGAGGGTTAAGGTGAAGTGTGAATTCAAAGTGGCTCTGCATAAAGACTGTGTTGAGACTGCAGTGACTAAGCAAAAGCATTGCTTTCAGCATAAACTGCACACAATGCACCGCGTCACTGTGGAATTAGTGAGAAATATTAGTCAGATTCTCAAAACCCAGTTAGAAAATATATGTACTCTCCCGAAGCAAGGTCAGTCAAGTATCTCTGGCTAACTAGCAGTTCATTCATAGCAAACCTTGTGCATGAGAGCCAACGTTCATGTGTGACCATGTTTTGAAACCTAGCAATCCTGGTTTCCTGCCGTACAAAATTGAGATATATGCGGTTATTGGTAACCAGTGATGTAACCAACCTCAGTTGGTCAGTCCTGAAAAGTTAACTCAAGTGGTCCAACTACCATTCCTTGACTCAAAAGCAAACACAAATGTACAATGGTGATGTCAGGCAATACGATTATGCTGCAAATTTGAAAAATTGCGCACGGGCAAATTTTGCTGCAAATTGTTTCGTGACGTCAAATTTGGCTTTGGTTTTGCATTCGCCCGAAGTGTATATATGGTCTTTTTCATTAGCATTGGTGAAACGAAAGTTAATAATCAAGATTCTTGATCAAGCTTGCTCTGCGATTTGGACTCGTTTGTCCTTTTTTTTTAAACCAACCGACATCAGACGTGCGTGAAGACGTGCATGTCCCCGGCCCGCACCCTCTTGATCCAGTCCAGCCTGGAGCCACGGAGCGTGAACTTGGTCCAGAGGAGGATCTGGACGATGGCGCAGAGCAGCGGGATGTAGACCAGGCAGTGGAAACAGCCCAGCCGCACCAGCTCCGTCTCCTCCTTGCTGAGGGCTGAGTCCACGGCACGGAGAGAGTTTCCGGAATTGGACTGGAATAGGTCATGACCTGAATATCAATGTGACAAAAATTTGTAAAAACTGGATAGAAAAATATTGGAAACTAAGATAGACTATCCCTCAATCAGATGACGTATACACATAACTTCTTAACAGTTTGTGCCAGTAATAACCTCTGTTCAACTACCACAAATACGACATTCTGCAGAGAAAGCTTTGGTGATCAGATAATGAGAGCTATGAGAGCTGTTTTTTGCAGCAACAAGTTTTACAAGCAACAGCTAATGAAAGAGAAGCTTCAGCTTAGAGAAGAAAAAAATATGGTCAACGGATTTCCTTGGGAGGCTGGTTGGACTGTACGTCTCAGACCAGTCAATCGTTGTATGCAAAGAAATTCCCAGCTCCTAAGGTCACCTGCAGATGGCGCCATTTAAGCCCTTTGAAGTCGTGGCTAATAACATTCTACAAGGCACTGTGTCCATTGCACTCTCTGCACAGGATGTTTGCACATATCCGACAAACTGGTCAAAGAGTACCCCACGAGAGAAAGGGTGATAGCAAATCAACAATTGGAGGCTGCAGGAGCTGACCATCTGGGTTCCTCCTGACGGCACACTCACCCGTCTGCATGGCAAGCAAGGTGGTCCCTAGGAGTGGGGCGATGGTCTGGCCTGGTTTGGACAGCAGGGCGGCTGTGCCAAAGACCAGTGCCGAGACAGCTTGCTTACGGCGGTGGATTACGCAGTCCTCGTCTACCAGATCGCTGATGACCAGGTTCAGCAGTTTGCAGGTGCCTTCCGTGAACACACGGTTACTTTTGACAAAGAAAATATAAGAGGACATAGATCAGAGCAATGCGCTGCGTTGATTTGGGAGGAGGGAGTGTTGTGGCATCGAATGAGTTGGTCTCACGATCACGTGGCTACTAATGCAGATGATGGGCTCGGAACAACCCATGGACTGGTGGCGCACCTGTCCACAGCAAGACATGTTTGTCATAAACTGCTCCTCCAAAGTGGAGTGGAAGGGTATTCATGACGACAGAGACGATTACTCTTGGATTTTCAAATCAGGTTTATCCCTCCACCGATAGAATTTGATAACACTATAAACTCATTACTGTCTGAATGACCATATGGCACTGATCTAAAATACATAGATAAGGAGCAAACCCAGCATGGATAAGTTCAATCTTCCCGACGCGAAATTCCATCAAGAATGAGCCAGTTCCGTATTACAACAGCGCATGTCCAAAATGAAGCATGTCCAAGATCATTCAGGAATAGCGTCTGCCCTTATGCCCGCAGCCACACACCAACTCGCACATGTACGTTGCTCTCGAATGACCTGGCCTCTTTGACATACTGAATTGGCTTATTTAAAATGTGTTTGAATGAGTAACTTCGGCCTAAAGAACAGAATCAAGAAGTGCACTTTCAAAAGGCCTTAAAAAGTCTTCAGAATATTTTAATAACTCAACGGGGTAACAATAACACAGGTACAAAATTTAAAAGCACATCGAGGTACGAAAGGGCAAAAAATAATGAAAGGCCTTGACTGGAGCTGTGTACCTGGCGATGAAGGCGCAGAGCAGCCACAGGTTGTTGGGCCCCGCAAACAGCATGAAGGCGCTGAGCAGGCACTTGCAGTAGAACAGCCACTTGATGACAGTGTAGACGCTGTACTTGCGGCACAGGGACAGAAAGTACAGGTTGTTGAGGTGGGGTATGACGAAGGAGGCGCCAATCAGGAGCGAGCCCATGCCTGGCGACAGTGCCCGGCCCAGTAGCCTCTCCAGAAAGAGCGGGAAGAAGTTGCTGTTGAAGTGGCAGTTGAAGACCTGCAAAGGCATTTGAGAGGAACAATGCCATGTACATTTATCAAGAAATTTAAGATTTGCGACTCAAGATCCGAAGGTCGGGGTTCAAAGCCAGCTCCAGGTCGTAAGTATCCTGATGAGCCACAATAAACGGCCTTTAAATTATGGAAAAGACAACTATGAGAAGGGTAGGCAGTAACACCGTGCAAATCTCTTTTTTCTCCAGCATGGTACTCAACCTAAATTTTACCCAAACCTATGGTGTTTTGAAAATTTGACAAACAAAACTTAAGAATCTACATCTTAATTTCACAACTGATATATGTTACATATGGCTTACTGTAAAAACATTGAAGGAATAATGTGTCAACTCTACATAAGGCACACGTATGATTTTAATGTACTTGGGATTTCATTTGTCACCAACATGAAAAATAAAAAATAAACTCCACTGCATGCAGGACAGAGGACTTGTAAAAGATGCAAAAATTTCACTGGTCCACTTGCTCTGTTCACCACTTCGCATCTGGGAATGAATGCACGAATACCAGCAATGATAAGAGTTTGCTTAACAATAGGAGGCTAGTAGACCGGTTTCTGGTGTTTCCATTAAGGGTCCAAAGCTCCTACCTTGCTGGTTCCCCTGTGCGTTTGCGCATGTTTTATGTTGACAACGACAAAACACCTGGCATGCGGCACTGACAGAAACAGATTTTTACATTGCAGAGATTTGCAAACAGTTGTCAATGGCAATTTTAGAAAGTGGAACTGAGTGCTGGCAGCCTGGCACTGGACTCTACAAATCAGACTTGAGAGGGACCTCACCTGCACCAGGTTCAGGACAGCAAAGTACTGGAAATTGGAATGCTTGCTCAGCTGCTTGACGTAATGCTTAATGGTGACTTCATCCTCACCAGCTGCCTTGGTGTTGTCATCTTGGGGCTCCACGCTGAGAATAGAAGAAGTTACAGAAATAAGTTACAGCGTAAAGAGAAAAACAAGCCGATATTTGGTTTTGTTTATAGTCGCTTCAGTGCCATGCCCCTGACACGCAGATGACCTGGATTGCCTAGATATGATTGCTGCACGATCTGAGTTTGGCTAAATAAAATGGGGACTAAAATAAATCGATTAACTCTACGTCAGACATTTCTACTTAAATATTCTCCAAGTACACATTCCCTAACCCTTGCCAGTTTTTGCCTAGAAACTTTCTGAGACCCTCCAAAATCTTTCATCCGTGTGGGTTACAACTAGGAACTTTTGATACTGATGGGTTTTAATATTCATAAAACCCCTCCATACAATAATGCCGCTGGCCTTTTGTAGGACATGAAAGCATTACGGCTAACCGAGTCAAAATGAAAAGAAATGTCTAAATTCCTCTCAAGATCCTTACGAAAGATCTCACCTGGCCACCGACGTCATTTCATCATCCTTCTTGCGCACGTCCCGGTACTGGCGGCTCAGGTAACGCGACACGAAGAAAAACCCCAGGGCCGAGAACGTTGCGAGGACGAAGCAGAATATCTGAAAGGACTGCATGTTGTCCCGGTCCCACACCACGTAAGACAAGAACACTGATAGGGAACCGGCTGCACTGAAGAATGAACTGTAGCCATTGAGTTTGGTTCTGTCAAGAGAAATGGAAGATCATTTTTGGATCATTTTAAAAATTTGACACTGATGTTTACAATACAAAAACATACCTCTTTATATTTTCATTTCAACTCTTTTTTGATGTTTACTACAATAACTGTTTAAAGACCACCAGGAGCGGTACACGGGTTTCAGAATTCAGAACAAAAGAGGGGCCAACTCACTGCATTTTACCATTCAACCATTTGAACAGACAAGCAACTGTGGCAATCTTTTAAAACAAAAAGAAAATGATAAGCTGCACATGATTTTTTAACGATTTTTCAGTTGGTTATGGTACACATGAGAATTAAACAATGAGAATATCTTCGATTTAAAGTTGAATACTTGTGTCAAGCAAGCAAACAAGCAAGCAAGCAAGCATGCAAGCAAGCAAGCACGCACGCAAGCAAGCCA